GGAGCTAAAAAAAATGCTATTTTCAGTTAGGGTCGGAGCCCAAATATGCAAGCAATTATGGCTAATATATTGAGCAAAATAAGGCAAGAAAGAGGGAGGAGGAGACTTACCCTTGAAGACCAAGTTTTTGACAACTCTTGGACCAAGTTTGGTGGCTCCTTAGCTCTGGAAAACAGCTCCAAGTGGCTGGAATGGATGGTGGTGGTGTGGTGCTAGGTGGTGTAGTGTAAAATGGTGTAGGACTTAGGATTTTGGTGCTTGGAGTAGAGAGGAAGAGAGATGCAATATAGGAGGCTTTGAGCAAAATTTGTAACCCTTAAAATGGGAACTGGAGGGCCTGATATATAGGCAAAAGAGGGGGAAAAGAGGGGGGAAAGAAAAGGGGGAAATGAATTCAAGTTTCCCCCCAAAAGTGCAGCCCCCGCGGATACACAATCTGGGGGGAAACAAAATACATTTCTGTAAAGTACCTGGAGAGAGGATCATGGCCGGCCGGTTTCCTAGGGCTTAGGTGGCTGGCCGGCTCTCCCCATGGCCGGCCGGCCAAGGGTCAAAGGGTCAATCATGATTAGTGGCCGGCCACCCCAGATTGGTGGCCTCCTATGTGTGCACAACACAACCATATGGTCAAAAACTGGAGAAAGTGAACCAGGAGAGAGAAAATGTCACTTTTAGGAGGCGTTCAAAAGGGTCACACAGAATTACTGGCCGGCCATGTGATATTGGTGGCCTCCCAGGTGTGTACAACACAAATATGTGGTTTGGGGCAAGAAAAAGTGGCCTTAGGGTGGTCAACATTGGCTTTCAAGTGAGAAAAACGGGCAACGGAGTGCGATGGAGGAATAAAACTGGTTGTCAGAACAATTACTGGCCTCCCACCCTTCTGCGACCTTCTTAACAATGAAACAGAGGTCCCTACCAAAAATGAACCCAAACCGATGCAAAATGAAGGTTCGGGGGCCGAAACGCGCAGCCCGAGGCCCCGAAAACTGACTGTTAGGCACTGGAGGTGGTGTTCGACCACGAAGTTGGTCTCTCGAGCCTCAGTGTCCCTCAAAAGGGAGCAAATAGGATGCAGGCCAAAAACCGGAGCAAACGGAGGTGGTTAAGCGGTCTCGAACCGAGGCATACGGCTAACGGCTCCGAAAAACTGAAAACCGGACTCCAAACGGGCAAAATGGCCTACGACCACGAAATGTAGCCTACGGCCATTGAGAGATGATCTACGAGACCTCTCCCTCCCTTCGGGAAGAGAAAACAGAGAAGACAGAGCCTGGTTCGCAAACCGAGGCAAAGCATGAAAGAGTCCGGAAGTCCGGAGGCAAGGCTCGCTGCCGAGACTCTGAAACCTCTGAACGAGCACGATATGCAACATCACTAAGAGCTCAATCGGTGACGTCTGAGTCTTAAGGTCGGTCAAAAATGGGGTGTCTACAGGACTTCGTCCTCAATAACATTGAAGGGCAAGTGAGAGAAAGCCGCGAGCAAAAGTTGAGCTTGCTTCCACTCAGCTGGAGTAGGAGAAGGTGGAGGCTTGTAAGGTGGAAAGATCTTATCTGCGGAGAGGACAAGCCTCAGTCTCTCTGTCCAGCAAGGATTTGGCAGAGGAGAAAGTGTGGATGCTTCTATTTTAGGAGGTGGAGCAAGGACAGAAGGAACAATGGCATTAATATAATCAAGCCAGTCAGAAGAACAAATCTTCGCTTTCTGGGCTAAGAATGATGGATTGTACCTTTGTGCCTCTTCTAGGCGTTGGGCGGCGTGCACTATCTTTGTAGGCATGGAAGATGTATACCATGCCACAAGCAGATTCTCCTCCAAACTGCGTCGATGGTCAATGGGCACGTAAGGATAGACCACTGAGTTTCGTGCATAAGAAGGGAACTCTAAAGGGTCAGTAAACTCAACAAAGTGATGGTTGATTCGTTCCCTCAAATCACAGGCCTCAGGTTTTGACCAGCTTGTCCAGTCAGAAGCCCCAGAAGAGGAAGAAGTTGCAGCCCTATCCCATGCAGAGGGTTGTGAAGAAGAACTTCCCATGTCCATATTTGCAACTTTCTAAATCAAAGGATTGAGAGCAGTTTGTTCGTAGTCCAAGGGTAAGTCAGAAGAAGAACTTCCCATGTCCATATTTGTGAGTTTCTGAATCAAAGGATTAAAGGCAATGTGTTCGAAGTCCAAGGGTTGATAATTTGCAAAGGCATCCATGACCTGAATATAGAAAGGTGGGTAAAGGTAGCTAATTAATGCATGGAGGTTCTTTCGAGGAAGAACATCATCATCATATGACTCTTCGTGTGCTCGATCAATGGAGGGAAAAACTGATTCGGCCATAAAAATGTATCAGTCTGTCCGAATACTAAGGCGGTGGGGGTGTTCAAAAGATTGAATGAGAGTTTAATGCTGATGATGAATGACAGTTGCATTTCTGGGAGAATGCAAAACCCATGCACGTTCTAAGATGTGGAAAAGAGACCTTGAACCACTAATATCACCAAGTATTGGGTATATTAGTGCGGGGGGTAATGTTGGCTACATATTTTGTACAAGCCAATTACAATTCGACGAGTGGCAAAATAAGGATAATATGGGAAGACTATTCTAGTCTTCGATCCTGATCGTACACGTGGCAATTAGTATTGGTTATTACGAGATCTGAGTAGTAGTGGATTAACAAAGAGATGCAAGGTGATGTGGCTTCAACAGTTACTCACATTTCAAATTCAAATTGAAGAGGGAAGCCTAACTGTAAGTAATGGCGTAATGGAGCTAATCTTAAGGCAACATGATCAGCGATCATGGAGGAGCAGTTCAACTGTTAGAAATGCAGCTCGATAGTCATCCTTGAGCAGTATAAATAACTGAGAATGCTCCAGAAAAAGCCCCCAAACTCAAATAAAAAAAACCAGTCTTATTATACTTATTTCAGTTTTACATTTCCAGTCTTACATTTTCTGTACTTTAAATTCCTGCACTGCACTTCGTTCATAGGAGTAGTTTCAAGTAGATTGTGGCTGTAAACCTCTACGAGGCTGAGTTTGAATCATTGTAAGTTTTTTCATGTTAATGAAATACTTCAACTGTTCTTCATTTAATTGTTATTTTGCTTAATTCTCCTAAATCAAGTCACCAGTAAAAGTCCTCTTCATTGAGGCTGAGAGAACTAAAACGCAATCATCTGATTATTAGTTGGCATGCTCGTAATTACAATAATACCCTTCAAAAGCCAAAAATAATAACAAATTTATTCTTAAAAAATTATACAAATAAACTATTAATTTTTTATTCTTTCATATTATAGCATGTGGCTTTGGTTGCAACAACTAAAGAGAACATCTTGAAAATATGGTCCCTCCAAGAAAATGGACCCATTGATGCCACATTGACCCAGCTACTTTACTCCACATATAGAAAGAGGGCATACCCTAATCTCCCCCCCCCCTTTTTTTTTTTTTAATAAAAAAATGTATAAAATATTAAAAAGATAAAAATCAAAGGAATAAAGTAAACAAATAAACAAAAAGATAAAGAAGAAGCAAACAAAAAATGTAAAGGAAAGATTCGGAGAAAAATAGAAAAAGGCTGATGATGATAGTCACCCCATTAGAAGAGACAAACAATAAGTGGGATTCTCTCTGCCCCTATCTGTCCGCCTCAAACTCGCCACAATTTTGTGTGTTTTTTTTTTCTTCGTTGTTATCTTTCTTTTTAATTTGTTTCTTATATATATATATATATATATATTATACAAAAATAAAAAGATAAATAAGTATAGTTTTTTTAATGTTTAGCGTTGTTGATTCAATGAAGGTTTAATCTTTCTTTTCAATATCTTTCTATCTAAAAGACTCTAAAAAGTTTTTTTTTTCAATTTTGAAAAGAGTTAAATTTTTAATAAAAATATAAAAAAAAACTTAAAAATTAATTTAAAAGTTTTACTAAACCAAAGTAATTGGTAGAAATAACTATTCCAAATGAGGAAAAATAATTATAATACCAAAAAAATTTCAAAAAAATATCTCATGGTCTAAATAGATCAATAATATCAAATAATGTACTAATAAAATACAATATTAAGTAGATCACATATCTAGTATATTATCATAAATAGATATACATGTGAAAAATAACACGTAAAGTTCTTAAAATAAAAGATTAAACCCATGCAATAATTGAAGCCGCTAAAATAAGGGGAGTAACAATTGCCAAACGTATTCACATAAGAGGTATGAGCACCTAAGATAGTTTTCTCATTTTTGAAATAGTATACTCATATTTTAAATATGTTACAATATTTAAAATATGAGTATTGCAATTCAGATCAAAAAAATAGATCCATTTTCTAAGCTTAATGATATAACACTTTACTAAAATATCTAAATCAACTTTCTATCGTATTTATTTTCTAATCAATAATCAATCAGTTAATAATAAAAAATAAAAACTAGACGCAAGCACCCCTCCCTTGTCTCCCACTAATTAGATCTATTTTCAAATAATTTACATAAAAATGATACTATATTTTAATACAAAATTTTTGAACTAAAAAATATATATTAATAAGGATAAATTCCACTAGTTGTCCTTTTTGTGTCATTTTGATCTATTAATTTTTACTTGACTCAATTTTGACATTTAATTTAAATTTTATAGCAATTTAATCTAATTGATAACGCTATTAGTGATTTTAATGAAAAATCTTTGAACTTTTACTTGACTCAATTTTAACATTTAATTTAAATTTTATAGCAATTTAGTCTAATTAATAACGCTATTAATGATTTTAATGAAAAATGATCATTGATGTAGTTGAAATTAACACATGAAATTGAGTAAATTTATAATTTTACTCTTAAAAACATAACATATTTGTGCATTTTTTATAATAAAATATTAACAGTTATAATCATTTAAATAAAATTATTAAAAAATCATAAATTTAAAATCAAAATTAAACTAATTAAAGTTACAAAAATTAAAATAATATAAGAATCAAAATATAAGAATTAATTGCTGTACAACAATTGTATAAAATGCACCAAACTGAAGCAATATCACAGACGGTGAGGACATGTTTCCATCTACAACTTTGAATAATGTTTTCACTCTTTTTTGTATCTCATTAATACACATTCTCAATAATGCTTTCACTCTGAAGTCAATTAATGGAACTTGAAAAGGCGTTATCGCACTGTGAGTCAAATAATTACAAAATGGAACGTTAACTCGATGAGTCGACTCAGTTCAACTCAGCTGTGATCGGATGTACGTCTTTGAGCAGCCCAACCACCTGCTGCATTGTGGGTCTTTTCCCAAGTGTCTCCGCAGTACACAAGTAACCAACTCGAAGGCATTCCACCATCTCACTTACCGAGTCACTGCCGAGTCTCAGCCTCGAGTCTAACGCACTTGCTCCGAATCCCTCCTTCACCAACCTCCTAGCCCACCCAATCGTCTTGTCCGACCCGACCCTACCCGTCAACAACTCGACCAACAATACACCAAAGCTGTACACGTCATCCTCCGTGGACCCTCCAACTCGGTCCTGACTCAGTCCAAAATCGGAAATCCGGGGCTCCAAGTCGTCGGCAAGTAGGATGTTGGAGGGGACCAAGTGGCCATGCACCACTGGCTTGGACCCCGCGTGGTGGAGGTAGGCAAGCCCACGTGCTATGCCCACCGCGATGCGGTGGCGCGTGGGCCATTCCATCTTTTCGGGTGATGAGATGTGGGGTCCGTTATCTCCGTCGTTGTGATGCTCCCACGTGTCGGTGCTCCAGTCCTCCACGTTGGGCGCACCAGTTGGGAGCTCGTGAAGCCATCGGTGCAAGTCACCGTTGGCCATAAACTGGTATAATACTAGCTTCTCACTACCTGCACAATGTACATTGAGTAAACACAACTTCAATTACACCTAGGCTCAACTCAACATACAATCACATTACAACGAGAGTAAATTATACTATGTCCCTCTACGTGTGTTTTTTTTATCCTTTAAAAATTTGTTTTATAATTTTCTCCAATGGCAAAAGTTTATTGAAATTTGACCCCCAAAAAATTGTTTGAACATAATAACATTTTGCTCATCCCATGTTAATAGTCCTAGGATATCTAATACATTGTGAGTAATAATATACGGATAAAGTTTTTGTTCAAAATTTTCATATAGAAATAATATGACTTTTTTTGGAAGTGGGGATGTTGCTGCGCGAGCAGCGCAGCAGCGGCTGCTATGAGGTGAAATAAGCTCATTTTAATAATTTAAACTCTTCACATTTTAGAATACATCAAATAGAACTTGTCTGCAAAAAATCAAATTAATCGGATAGCGTTTTCCTATTCATCCACTCACATTAGTATTCATTTTAATACTTTAAATCACAATTATTATTTATTTTTGTACATACGTGGATGAATAGGTAAACGATATCCGATTAATTTAATTTTTTACAAACATGTTTTACTTGATGTATTCTAAAATGTAAATGGTTTGGATTATTAAAATGGACTCCGAAATGGGCCATTTCACTGTACAGCAGCATCTCCACTTCTGATTTGTTTGTGATTTATTCATTCCCAATCAAAACAGTTGTTGGGCATAACATTTATGCAAAAATCAAAATAATTAATTATTAATAAACACATAATCAGATGACAGTTATCTTTAAAAATAAGGAATGATCTGCCCAATAAACTTTCTAATAAACTCAACACAAACAATTTGGGTCTCCGAAGTGAGCTCGAAGATGAGCCAACCGACCCCAGAGCCTAAAGAAATTATGCAAGTGCTTCTCCAATCATTTACTCATCGACAAATAGCACATTGCCTTCTAAAACTTCAATACAAAAGTGATGAATCCTATTTAAATTAAGGATAAATTACAAATACATCTTTTAAAATTTGTTTAATTATCTCATGTGATTTAAAAAATTACAAATATTTTGTTGTCACAAATTTTAATTTAACAGAATTAATTGAAAAAATAAAATTCATAATTACTCACGTATACAATGATAACATTACATGAATTATTGATCGAAATAAATTTTTGACATCATTAAAAATTATTAATTAACTTAATGATTTATTAATAAAATGATATATTTGTTATAAAATTAGAAATTTAAAAGGCCAAGATCTGATTTCCAAAACTATAAGGATCTGATTTCCAAAACTATAAGGAATAATCGTATTTTAAGTAAATTTACTTAATAATTTATCCTTAAATTAATACCTATTACCTAAACTTGTTTACAGGGAATTTGATTAATTTCTCCAAAATCTGAATGCCCAACTCTTTTAACTAAAGAGTAATGTTACTCTAATCTAAAAGTTCGACTAAATTATCAAATTCAATGATGTGATAATTTATTACTACAATATCTAAGGGCAACTATCTTTATCATATTTTTCTAATTATGATCTAATAATCTCTTTTATGCCATTGTTTGGGAAGTGGGTTTGGGGTTAAAATAGTCACAAAAAAAATAAAATAGGATTTTTAACCCAATAAGACAAAACATGACATTTAACCCATAATCGTTACATTATTTTTGTTACAAAAAAACAAAAAAAGCCAAAAATCATTTCCAAACCAGGCTTTTTAGTCCTAAGTTAAAATAACCAAAAAAATCAAAAATTCAAAAAACCAATCAACTTCCCAAACCAAGCCTATATATCACAAAATCTAAAAAATAAGTGTATCATTTTTAAATAGGAATTTGTAATGATAGCTAGTGTAAGATTTGCCTGGCAAACAGAAGCAGAGCTACGGTGTACGACGGACACCTCTCATCTGATCTCATCTCACAGCAGCAAGCAGCAATGAAGTAAGTATAATGCCCATTATCACGTGAATCCCATTTAAAAAAAAAAAAAAGAAAAAAAAAAGAAAAAGGATTTTTAACCGAATAAGACAAAACATCACATTTAACCCATAATCATTACATTGTTTCTCTCACAAAAATTTATAAAAAGCCAAAAACCTTTTCCAAACCAGACTTTTTAGTCCTAAGCTAAAATAACCAAAAAAAACCAAAAATTCAAAAAACCAATCCACTTCCCAAACCAAGCCTCTATATCACAAAATCTAAAAAATAAGTGTATCGTTTTTAAATAGGAATTTGTAATGATAGCTTGTGTAAGATTTGCCTGGCAAACAGAAGCAGAGCTACGGTGTACGACGGACACCTCTCATCTGATCTCATCTCACAGCAGCAAGCAGCAATGAAGTAAGTATAATGCCCATTATCACGTGAATCCCATTTAATGTGTTAGGTCTCAAACCCACTGCCCAAAAAAATTTAAAAACAAACATATGTTCTAAGTATTAAATACATACGGAACAACACAAGAATACCTGCAATGCAGTAGCCAGTAATGGGCAACAGGTTTGTGTGTTTCAGCCTCGCCAGCTCTTCAAACATCTTCACAGCTTCATCATCATCAAGGCCTCTCGCTTGCTCCACCACCTTGATCGCCACGTGTAAGTCACCCGGCAAAATTGCCCTGTACACTGGCCCACACCTTCCCTCTGCTATCAATGACTCTTTTCCGAAGTGTGACGTGGCAGCAATCAAGTCCTTGAAAGTCAGGTTCATCAATGGCTTCTCAAACATCACCACCGGTGCAGATGATGCTTCTTTAATGTCTGCTACCCATGATGTCCCTGACTCTGTCTCGAAAGCGAACGGCCCTGATTTCTCTATCTTGAATGATAATTGATGAATTGGTTGAGATATTGACCATTTGTTCATTTTTCTGGCTCTTTTTCTCTTCTTGTACATGCAACAAATGAACACAATCATGGCCAAAACAACACTTGTTGATGATGCAATTGATAAAGCTAACACTAGAGGTTTGGTTTTTGATGTGGGTTTTTCATTTTTGGCTTGTTTGTAAATGGGTTTTTGTTTTTGGGGTGGTTTGAGAGGTGGGTTTTTTGAGTGAGGCTTGACATGGAAGGTTTGGGAGGTCTTTGAAATGCCTGAATGTGTGAATGCAGAGTTTCCAAATTTTTTGATATTTTCTGGACTTGTTTGGCCAGTGAAGTTATTGAATGAGAGGTTCAAGAACTTGAGACCAACCAGAGGAGGAAAATCAGAAGGAAAAGAACCAACCATTTTGTTGTTTGACACATCCAAGTACTTCAATGATTTCAGACTCGAAATGGGTTTTGAATTGCCTGAAATGTTGCAGCTGGAGAGATCAAGATGTTGAAGATGGGTCAAGTTTTTGAGCCCCGAAGGCAAGAGTCTGAGATCATTATGTGAGAGGTCAAGAACAGTGAGGTTTGGGAAAACAGAGAGAGGAGCCAAGTTGGTGAACCTGTTGGTGGACAAATTGAGGACCTGAATGGATGAAAATGGACCCATATCTGAACTAGCTTCGAACAAAATGGTCCCACCAAACCGGTTGTTGGAGAGATTGACCAAAACCAGATTTTGGATGGACCAGAACCAACCTGGGACAGAGCCTTTGAGAGAGTTGTTGGAGAGATCAATTTTTTGCAAGTGAGACATGTTTCTGAGGAACTTCCATGAAAGAGTACCACTCAGATTTCTTGATGAGAGGTTTAGTTCTGTGATTGGATGGTTTGGGCAGGTTAGATGAGAGGGTTTGAACCAGGAGGAGTTGAAGCCAGAGACAGAGCTAAAGGCTTTGGAGATCAGTTGTCGGTCTGTAGTAGTGTTGCATGAGGATTGCACAAGTGATAAAAGTGACATGACAAGTGTGAATTTGAGGAGGATCTCCATTTCCTAACTTCAGACTTTCAACTGGTTGCTGTTGTTTTGCCTCCCATGAGTGAGAGAGAGAGAGAGAGAGAGAGAAGAGCGAGTTGCGTTTAGGTCCGGGCACTTTTTGTGTCCTCAATGACACAGAGGAAAAGAAAGACAACTAAAGGGGGAGGGAAATATATACATATATAGAGAGGTGTGAGAAATGTGTTTATAACAATAACATTGTGAAAAAAATTATTTTTTTATTCATATTGTGAAATATTGGTAATAATTTTTCGTCACGTATGAGGGAGAGATAGAGAGGGCTTAATTTTTTGAAAAAATTATAAATCATTGTATATAATAAAAAAAAATTACAAACTTACGAGGAGTGCAATTCTTTGTGTAAAAAACATATCAAAAATTAAACTTCAAAAGCATTTTCAGCCTATAAAATATGAGAGTCGCTATTCTTATTATATTTTACTCAAATTATACTTTTTTCTTGGTCCTTACTATATATAAAAGAGAGTGTATTTAAAAGAACAACAATATTAGGTAGCTCAAAATTTTGTGGCTCAAATGGTTCAAATCACTTAAAACGATGTCGTTTTGACAGATTTTGAATATAAAACGATGTCGTTTTGACAAATTTAAGACATTTGAATTACAAAAGTTTGAGTTACTAAACATTTTCCTTAAAAGAAATAGTAACTATGTATACTAAGAATAAAGAAAAAAGAGTATATTTACCGCAAAATAGAGTAAAAATAATGATTGCTTGAAATATTTGACACTACGTGTAAATGTAAATGATTCCGTCGACTAGAACAATAATAGTTTATAGGTAAGTTACCCTTACTTTTCATGATTTTTTTTTTTTAAAAATACACTCAATTTCATATTTTTGTATAATTATACTAATTTCTTTTGAAATTTTAATTTACATAATATTTTTTTATTAGTAATTCATTAGCTATAGATAAACAGATGTTTGTCATCTATTTTCAACTAAAATGCATATTTACTTTTATTTATTTAAATGTCTATCAATTATCTTTATTAGTTTTGATTGTTTTCACCTTACTAAAAAGAGATATTTTAGTATAGTTATATTGAATTTGTGAGATTAATTGTATTTTTTTTAAATATCAAGAAAGATGAAAGATGAGTGATATTTACTCTACTGTAAATGTAAATCATGTATCATCATGATGGAAAATCCTATGGTATACATCTTTGGAGGAATGTGTATCATATGCACCTTTTTATATGTTTTTGTAGTAAATGTTACATATTTTTGTAACAGGAGTTACGACAATTTGTGGTTGAGAAATAAAGTTGCGTATTTTGTGATAGTGTTATGCATTTTTATAGTAATATTACACATTTTTTTACAATATTTTCTAACTACAAAATATGTAATAATACCACAAAATACGGAATATTGTTGCAAAATTGCATAATTTTATTTCTCAAGCACAAATAGTGTAACTCCTACTATAAAAATATATAATATTTATTATAAAAATACGTAACATCATAACTCTTGCTACAAAAATTTATAATATTTATTACAAAAATATGTAACATACCCTACAAAAACATGTAACAAGGTGTAGGATTTCCTCATGGTGATACATTACTTTACACTAGAGTAAATATCATATTATTTTTTTTTTTCATTTAATGACAAAAATAATTTTTTTAAAATTTTATTTTGTATTTTATTTGAGCGAACATAACAGAATAATTTTATAGTATTTGAGGATTAGCTCTATTTGATAATTTTTTAATTTTTACCAAAAGATATATAAAAAAATAGAAACATAAATAATTTATATATATATATATATATATTTGGGAACTAATTTAATTTGTTCTAAAATTTAATTTGTTCTACTACATCACATCGATTTTATTTTATAGGCGTAATATATTGACCGTGACATGGGCCAAGGGCGAACTAAAATTACAAATTTTTGCAACATTAATTACAAAATTTTAAATATTTTATTACATCAATTTATAATAAAAATATATATTTATAATTAATATTATAAAATTTTATAATAAAATTATACATTTTTATAGTACCATGTGCGCTTTAAAACGATGCACACCGTATGATTTCTCTTATAATTAGGGGTGGGCGCGGGTCGGTTGCGGCCACGAAACCTCCAATCCGCCATCCGTCCGCCAGATTGGCGGATTGGAGAAAATCAATCCGCATCCGTCC